GCTCTAGTTTAGTCTCATCGAAGCAAAGTGTTTCCCTTAAAATGTTACTTCAGTGGATTATATTTGTTACAGACAAAAAAAAAGGATGTGATTTCGTTGTTGTTGTTGTTGTTGTTGTTGTTGTTGTTGTTGTTGTTGTTGTTGTTGTTATTTGTGTTCTTCTTGAAGAAAAACGAAATGTTTTCCTTCTAGATTATGTTACTTTTTGCGATGCTCATAATGCAGACTTATCCTAGTGAGTACTCTTACATGCTTTGCAATTATCATATATTATTGGGGGGTTCTCGTGGCCTAGAGGTTAAGGTGTTGGCCTCTCAACCAAAAGTCCCGGGTTAGAATCCGGGTAGGGCCGAAAAATTTTCTTTTCTGATACTGTCTCCTTTCACCTCCTTTCCTGCTCTCAAGCTGTCGTCTGCTTTCGTCTCATCTTTCTCCCCATCACCTCCTTTGCCCCCTCCTTTGGGCTCCTGACTCTTTCTGCAGCCTTTCTACTGCTACTTCTTGGCTCCTTCTTGCTGCTGTCTTTCAGCCACAACCCTGATCTTCTGGAAGGATTAAAGATCTACACCTAGCCTTCTCGGAGAAAGGCGAAAAATCTTGGAGGGCCCGTGTACAAGTTGCGCATGTTAAAGAACCCTCCCATAGTGGTCTAAAATCGATAAGATTAGGCTTCGGCCGCCACCCGGGCAAAATTCAAAATTTCCTACCAACTGAAAAAGTTTAATGTGTCCCGCGCGCTCATATGACCTTAAGCAGTTGCGAGCGCCGTAAAACACCAATGACACTTTTTAGTAGCAAAACTTGTTACACGTAATTACTTTTATAGTGAACACATGTTTTGCATTTCATTCCTAAAACATATGCGTCCAATGAGCATAGCGTCACGATTAGAAGAAAATGACGGACTTGCTTTTAAAAGTGATATTGCTCCAGCTGTAAACCTTTTAAAATCTGTAGAAACCACCCATTTTGGATTTTTTAATTACAATTCTTTAGGGAATTTTCTAGAATACAGCTAATAGGTGTTTACAAAAATATTGATCTGTTAAGACAAATTGATACAAGTCATTGTGCAAAAGCTGGAAAGTTTGACATTTTAGAAAATATCTGACAATAAATTGCGCCTCAGATTTTTTTACCGCTCTTTGTATATCTCTCTTATATATATATAT